AATGTTGGAAGGGCAAAAATATTTAAGTTGAGCTAATTTTATTGCTTGGACATATTATATTAAGTCTACACAAATATATTTGAAAAACATTGATTGAACGGTTATTTTCAAATCCAGTCAACAATTAGCTATGCTAATGTTGACTAAACTAATAAAAACGAATCCAGCCAACTCAGATCATTCTGCACGTGCACGAGCCTGAGTGACTTTGCGGGAGAAACAGTGCCATCTTGTTAAGTTCACGAGTCAGGTAAGTGCCACTAAATAAATGTTATTTTTTAAGGTGTAAACATATTTAAAATGTATGTATTTATACACAAACATACAACATACATAAAAACATCGAATAAGCTTTGTATGAATATGTCTGAGGGAAATGAGCTGTTTAAGTGAAGGGAACGTGGTCTTTCTTCTCGTTTAATCCATAGAACACTTTATGTCAAAAGCTTTTTAGGTTTTAAAATTTTAGGTTTAATTTTGGCGTGTTGTATGATATTTTTGTGTTTCCGTGACGTTAAAAGATACGCATTTCACCCCTAAAATGTCAGGCCCTGTCACAGACAAATTTGTATATGCTAGAATGGTTTCCTAATTAATTTATTTGATACAAATAGCATTTTCTTTTTGGTCACATGTCCCTGATTGTATCTAACATGGTTTTGTAATTTCTATAAGGAATAGTAATATTTGTAAATGTTTGTTTGCAAACATTTTGTTTAACTTGTTTAGTCTTTAAGTTCATTAAACAAATGTTTAAAATAAATTTGGCAGTTGTATTACAAATGTATTGTTTGACAACTGGAGCACTTTAAAGGGATAGTTCACCCAAAAAATGGAAATTTGCTGTTATTTTATTGACCCTCAGGCCATCCCAGATGTCAGTGACTTTTTTTCTTCAGTAGAACAGTACTAAAAAAAGGTTGGGAAACACTGGGTTAAATCAGTGTAGAAATCTATGACAAGTCTAAGAGAGAGAGAAAGTGACAGAACGAATAAGCAATGTGCCAGTAGCGGATCTACCGTGATCAAATCCTCAAACAACTCATCAAATTCCCATTAGCCTCTGGAAGGATGAGGCAGCGCATGTACAGCAGCGGCAGCAGTCAGTCAGTGCAGTTCCAGTGGGAGAGAGAGACACTCAGAGCCGGAGCAGAGAGCAACACGCTGCGCAGGAACCCGCCTTCGCTTGGCAGGAGTTGGCGCTCCTAACAGAATCAAAGGCTGCTTTTCTTCCCATTGAGACACACGGGCTCAGAGGTCAGCCTGCCTTTCTTGGACCAAGATGGAGAAAAACTGAATAAATGGGCTTTGTGAGACAATGGGTTATTGCTGTGTGGGCAGGCATTTGTAGCACTGTGGCCTCTCGCTTTGACGAAATAAAAAGGGAGCGAGAGATGCTGCGTTTCGACTGCCACGATAAAAGTAAATACTTTACCCTTCTTTGCTGATAGGGCTTCCTGTCTGTGCCACACTGTGTAAACATTTAGATGTACTGTGAACTTGAGAGGTGCGAGCCTGGAAATAAATGTGCAGTGCCTTGCAAACAAGTCTGTGCCATATCATAAGCCGCATATGGAGTTACATGTTATAAAGGACAAAAACAAAAAGATCTGAGTAAACAGTGTTAAAAAAGAATTCCATTAGGGAAGACCGCAAGCTTAAAATGTATTTGATAGAGCAGTGAAACTTTTCCAAAAAAGTGAGGGGGAAAAAACGACAGAAGATTCCCGTGGGATACTCTGGCCTCATATGGGTCCTGTCAATCAAAAGCTTGTGTGAAACCTCAAGAGGCTAGATCAGAATGGACAGAGGTGAGCTAAGAAAACTTACTTTCCCACAGTCATCAAAAATTGAATCTTCATAAATAAATAAATAGGAAGGTTTATGTAAATAAATAAATACATACATTTTGGTTAAAACAATCTCGACTTACTTTAATGGTTCAATTTAGAATCATTTTTTAACTAAACAATGTTTTTCCTTGATTTAAACACACTTTTTCCAAAGCAAGTTTCTTTATGCAACCTACATTAAAAAGGGAAATTTAACACCTAAAATTGTTATGTTTCTGTCGCAAGTCAAATAACACTAATCTAGTTAAGTTTGGCACAATTTTAAGGACTTTTTTTCTCAATATTAAGAGTGTGATATACAGATGAACTCATGTACACGGTGTTATTCACTTCTCATGCTTGTTACACAGCTCCATTGTAACAGGGAATCTATCCAAGAAAAAGATCAGATAGAGAAAAAGAGAGCTAAATTGCTGAACGATTAATTTTCATCAGCAGCCAGTCTCACTGACGGGACTTAATCCAAAGCTAAGCCGATTAACAAACTGATATTTGTGTTCCTACTATTCCCCACAAGTCTTGCTACTGGCACGGCTCCTAAATGTCACGGAAGAGACTGATTTAAATTCACAGCCGTCTTCAGACAGACTGAAGCGATAACCGATACAGATCACAATAATGAGTAATACAGCCAACTAAACAACAGCACACTGCAGTGGTCAGATCTCTCATCATCATAAGCATTAACCCTTTCATTAACTTTGCAATCAACAGAAGGACACACTTTAATTATTCCCCATATTACAACCTGGAACTGATGAGACAATTTATACACAACAATGACGCCTTAAAATCATCATATTATTGACAGAAATAAGATAATTTAAAATATTTATTTTTAATATGCAATATTAAATATTTTATTTATTCATAGTTGTCAACTATACATATTAAAGCAATTATAGACTTCTGTGTTTAGACTTGCTTATACGTCATTATATTTGGGCAGTTAAAACTTTATTTCCTTTCATTCGTATAGGCTAAAACTGTCCTGCATATGGAAAAGTATGTCATATGCCAAACTTTTTTTAATCGCATTTTTACCTTAATGTTCTTTTAAAATGCACCTGTGATGTGACAAATCAATTTTTACAAGTGTTACAATTTCAAATGTCTCCATATGAATATGAGCTCATAAAACCTGCATGCACAATAATTATAGATGAACTGGAAACATTTAGCCTACAACAGTTTTAGATTAAGTATAGCATGTCAAACCCACTACACAACATCTTGAACTACCCAACAATATTTAAATGTAAAACAATTATTGTTCAAATTGATGTTTTTTTTGTTTTGTTTTTTGTGAAGGTTAATGTTCTTCACACCTGCACTTTCAAAACAGTTCTTCATGAAACTTAAAAAGTCTGTTCAACACAAAAGTGGTTTTGCTACTGTTGCAAGCAAAAGAAAACAACCAGGAGCTACAGTATATCATTTCTTTTAAAAAATAAATGTGTTATTTATTTACTTTTAACAACTGTAACTTTGCTGAGTATCCTACAGTGTTGTTGTTGTTGTTGTTTTTACCTGTAAACCCATTAAAATCGCTCTCCCTTCAGGCTTTTTAATTTATTTAATCTAAAATAACAATTGGATCAGCATCGCGTCTCCTCCGGCAGCGCAGCGGAGCGCAGAAGTGCGTCAGGAGCGCGTGCCTTTGCCAATGACACTGAGATCAGTAACGAACCATAAGACCTGATTAGTTCGTGCTCTTTACTTGCTTTCGATTAGTCATCTGAAATGGCTCGATTTTACCCGTTAGTTAATAGTCAGTGTGTCTAATCGTCACTGTAATAACTGATTGAGGTGAAAACGAACAACGCAAAACGCGCATAAAGACACAAGAGAAACATTTGAAATAGTTTCGAGGTTTTCGAATGGCGTAATGCTTCTCTATAAAAGTTTTCTTGGATGCTTTTAATGAGGTCAATTCAGCTCGACTGTGATGGAGGATAGGTGGCAACAGAATAATTTATACTAGGCTACTATAATCGATATTGAGGTTTCATATTGATGAATTTGCCTGTTCTAGATGGATCTACGTTTGAAAATGTGTCACGATGACTATTCATCAATGCATGTGTTTGCGTGTGTGAGAGAGAATGAGTATGCTTTGCTTAAATTAATGCTTTGCGTTTTATTTTATATTATATATTGCAATTATAGTTTTAATAACATTGTTTTTAAAGATGATATATTATATAGTTGGATTATGCATTATTTGCATGCATATATGTACATGGCATGCCAATAAAGTACAGAGAAAGAGGGAGAGAGAGGAAGGGAGGGAGATTTGTGATTTAGACCATCTCGGTTCATATACTACCACCATGTGGAGATCTGAACGCCACATTGATGCGTATTCAGGCTATTCTTATGTCATAAAATAGCAAATCTGCCAATTTTGTTGTGTTATATTTTCCGAAAAGCTATTTGCATTCCAAACACAATGAGTCTGTTTAGTTGAGCAAACTTTTCAATAAAAAACATTCGAAATAGACTATGAATTCCTACTAAAATGACACAATAAGACAGCTTACGTATAACAGTATTTTTGCATTTCTACATCAAAAAATATGAAACGGATGAGAAATCAAATATTGTGCATTTGATTGCACGCTGACATTTTAAGTTTTTAGCCCCCGGAAAGTCAACCACAAACCAGTCACACGCACCAGAGGTTCGACTCAAGGCAACAGAAGTGACTTTTCACATGCATGGAAAGCAATGACCACTCCAACTCTTTCTCAGACAGTGTGTACGGACTGAGAATAACAAAACAAACGTCCAGTGAGACTGAATGCCCCTTTCAGTGCCACTTCAGCAGTGCCACTCTGCGCTATCAGTGCCACTGCTCCAACTGTATGCCAGCTTATTTCACACCAACACACATAAGAGACTCTGTGCGTGGAAGCTATGCATCATTGTGGTGCTGAATGAATGGTACACATGTACCATCACAATAACGCATATATACTTCAGGGTTTTATTGTTAAGAGAAATGAACAGACACAACAATGGTTCCTCGCACCAGAGGATGGGTACCGCGAGAAGCATCCACAAAAAGTAAGCAGAGCTCAAAGGTGCGTGCACGAGACGCATAAATGCCTTTGCGCACGAGACGACGGTCAGTCGTTTACTCACCTTGCTGCGAGTCGATGAGACGGACCGCCACAGAAGTGAGAAGAACCCCGAGGCAACACAGAGAAGATGCCAGCTTCATGTTTGAAGTTGCCCGTTGTATTTCACATGTCCAACACCATATCCTTTTATTTTAAATGTCTTAAGACAGGAACGCAACTGCGGTGGAGTGACTTCTCAAGTGCTGCTGTTGCGTGTCAGAGTAAATAACGTGATAAGACGTCCAGTTTAAATGGTAAAATAGTCCTCAGGAACGAGTGTAAAAGTTCAGGTGCGAGAAATTCGCTGTATAGTGCTTTGACAGGATCTCGACGCAAGGCTCATGACATTACTCTCTTCAGACGCTCTTCAGCGCTGCTACGGCACAAAGCCTAAGGCACGCCTCCACCAAACTCCGCACCGCCCTCCGCTGATCTGATTGGTCCAAAGTCTGTATAATTAGACAAGAACCCGCCCTTCCACGCTCACCGTAAGTTTTTGATTGGCTCAAGAAGCGGTCTCTTCTAAATACACCTGTCTTGTTCTGCATACGGCGTCTTCTTCAACTGGGCGTTTGTTCACATTTCAAGAGGTTTTTAAAGGTTTTCCCATCATGAATTTCCGGAGAACGCATGTTGACGTCGTTATTTCGAATAAAGCTCTACAGAAGTTATGTGTAGTACACTTACAAAAGTATCAAAAAGTACCATAGTATTTCCACAGTAGCGTCACAGGACCACCCCAGCCTTTTTTGTAAAGGTCGACTATAGAAGGCTATGTGCGTATAAAACACACATTTTCTTAATATATCTCTAAATAGCCTATGGTTTATAATATTTACAGTACAAGCTTCATGTTTGTCAATCTTTTAATGTCAGATTTCAATGAATTTACATGATCTTTTTATGAGCTTCTCGATCACTTAGATTACTGTAATGATTTTTAAAAATCACAATTTAGCCTTTTATATAACTATAACCATGTATATTGATTTTTTTATGAATTTCCATGACTTCTCCAGAGCTGGAAATCACAATCTTAAAATTCCCTGATATGTTACAGGCATCTATTACTGTGTGAGCCCTGCAGTGCTATCAATGAAAGGAACACTATGATAAAGTGCTACAGAGAAAATCTAGCTTTCTATATTAGTAGTCCCTGACTTAGTTGAGCATCCCTGGATCTCTAAAGGCTGAACAACTCTTGGTTCGGACCAACAAGCTACAACCTGACACTTAGCCAAGTCACTTCAATGACACACTGCACGCCGTTCACACCTACTATCAAAGACGAGGACAGTCAGAAGCAATAATACAGTAAGCATCTGGGGTATGCTTCACACACCCTCATATAAATAGGCCACATTACTCAAGAACAAAAGAAATATACAATGCAAAGTTTGGATATTCTATTGTTTTGATTTTGACTAATGTTTCAGTGCACCTCAATATATATCTGTTAATATTACAAGGTGTGTGTGTATATATATATATATATATATATACAGGGCCTAAAACTAACTTTTTGCCACACCTGCCAATGGCCGGTGACATGATAAAATTTACAGGCCAAAAAAATGTTTTACCGGCCATGAAACTCTTTTTTGCAAAAACAGGCAGTTATTAGCCTACTACTACAGTGACTAAATATTTTTACAATATTTTTAATTTGTCCTGCTGGTGCATTTTCCCTCAATTTTACCTATTAATTATAGCCATTCAACATTACAGTATAATTTAAAGCCATTATTTTTAACATTTAATAGGCTCTGAAAGATATAACAACTTTTAATTTAAGTGATTTTAAAACAATCTTCACATAAACTATATTATATATGCATAAACTATGCATATTAATCTTTATTCAAGCTATAAAAGTTAATCAGCGACTAGAACAGTCCAAGGATTTCTCTTTTTCTTTTGTTCTTTGATTTACATCAATGACAGACTTCAGCAGGTTTCACTTTAAAATCAGCCCCCGTATTCTCGAGTTAGAAGAATAAAGAAGGGAAAAGTTAATCTTCCGAAATGAAGCAGCAAAATCTTCTCAGGTAAGTTATTAGAACCGTGTCTAGGGACAAGCTGGCCATCACACTGCTCTGACCTTATCAGCCGTTTGTATTCTATTATTTGATTCGCTCTTGTCGCTTATGACAGAACAGCTAATCACGATGGTCTTGTTTTCGGAAAAGATCATTGTATTCGCTTATGTCAGAAACAGCGAATCTCTTTTAAAACTGGCTGTTGTTTTTGCTTAGTTGCATTGTTATAATTCGTAAAAGTTGTACCCGCCAACTGGCGACTGACAGTTACATGGACTCGCCAACGCTGATTTTTACTAGCATTTGTATGGAATAAAATCGCTGTCAAAAATAATCGTACGTAATTCAAAGCGTTTGTGTGTCATTTTAATTTACTCGTGCGTAATTTAAAAGTATTGTATGTAATTCTGTTTTTTTTGTCAGAGTTGGATTCCAAAATCTACGGCCACGACAGTTTACAGATACGAGATTTTGTGTGTTTGTTAGAGTACAACTCCTGGCCCTGTGTGTGTGTATATATATATATACTTCATAATATTACAAGAAGTATGTAACAAGATATGTAATATTGCATAATATTACAAGATTTATGTTTATTATATTCATATTACAAGATATCTGTAACTGAAACATACATATACACTTTATACATATATACAATTCAAATATTATAAAGTGTGTGTGTGTATATATATATATATTGTTTATATATATATATATATATATATATATATACACACATACACACATACACACACACACACACACACACTATGTGGTGATTAAATGAAACTGGGTTGACCTAGAAAATCCTATGCACTTCATTTTTTCACATCACATTTATGATGGAGTCAAAGAAGGGTTTGACAGCCCGTTCTGCTGGTGTAGTTACTGTAGTACTGACCTTTCACCACAGGAGGGAGTCATAAACCACACCTCTGGGGTTACCGGGGTCAGAGCCAGCAGGAGCTCAAGCTGTTTCCACCCAAGCATACAGCCCTGCAAATGACATTGGCTTCTTCTCCTTCTTATTATATGCAGACAAGAAGCTAAACTAAGTTTTGTGATTGGATTAAATATTATAAAACATCGGCTGTCACTTAACAAGACACGTTTCATGTTCTCATTTGTCAGCTCAAGAGCAAACAACACAATTAAGCGACAAAATATTCGAATGAGCTTTCTTTTTCCTTTAAAAGGCACAATATGTAAGATTTTTTTATTAAAATATACAAAAACCACTAGAACAGTGTTATATATTTTGCAGACTTGTGTACTTACATTATCCCAAATGTTTCGAAGAATGTTTAAATCCAGAAAAATAAGCAATTTTAACTAGTGACACGGACCGTGTGCATAGTGTCATTGTGTCGCCTGCCAATGACATCATACACCCTCGATTTCCGGTTTTGTTTTGTAGAAAACATGGAAATACCAAAGACGCTTTAATATGTTATGCATTTTATTAGACAGGTTATTAGACGACCGCACAGAGTAGCATTATAACAGAACTTTCAAATGTATCTAGTATGATAAAACAGCGCTGCTTTACTCCACATACTAACGAGCGGAAGGAGCGGAAGCGGTCGACTGTGGCATAATAAAAGCTCTGCTGCTTTCGAGCCGTGTGTCACGCTCGTTCAGCGGCCTCGTTTCACTTCGACGGCTTTCAGCCTCACCCTGCTTCATTCTACTACGTTAATAAATCCTTAGCTCATCCATGAACATGAACCGTGTCCCGTCGGATTGCATCGGCTGTGGGGATGAAGACGACAACTCCCATGATTCCACATTCAGTCACGGCGTCATCAAACTACGCTTTTGTTTTTTTGTTTGTTTTTTTAATACGCGCCCTCTAGCGGCGAAAACTTACATATTGTGCCTTTAATAAATCTCTCAGAATGGTATGTATGACAATATCTTCCAGATGCCCTCAATCATATAATTCATTCTCCGGATTAGGAGAGTGAATAGCAGAGGTTCCGACGGTTGGCAAAAACACCCTTGATGCCGGGTGTAGAGCTAATCTAATACATGACTCCATGATTTGTTTAATGGACGAGAGTTAGGTGTGCAAGGACCGCCAATAAAACCTGAGCCTCCAGAGGCCCTTCCGTGCATAATGATTCCAGACACACAATATCCAAGTAATGAAGCGGCTTTATCAAACTAGGCAGAGCTTATTTCCACCAGTGTCCTTCTCTCCTCTGCTATCTCTCATTACACTTCCTGCATTCAAACGGCATCGACGCTCAACAGCCTGCCACAAAATACCAACAGCAGCGTGTGCCACAGAATGAGTTCATTTCAGAAATTTTTTTAATTATTTACATTCAGGAAATGCTATTTCCCGACAGACCATCAGAATCGAGATTATATCAGACTGAATGTATTATGGCTACAGAAGTGGGCAGAAATGGTTCAGGGTACAAACTGAACTGAAATAATTACTCAGGTGTTAGTTATCAAAGCAAAAAAACAGTCCTATTAAAGTGTCAATCAATGTAAAAACTTTGATTCAATAGGCTGTACATGAAGCTGTGTTATCTTATCTAGTAAACTCCATATAGTAATATGTTTGCATTTAATTTCCTGTCTGAACAAACATTTGATTCTCTAAAGGAATAGTTCACCCGAAAATGAAAATTTGCTGAAATTGAACTCACCCTCAGGCCATTCAAGAGTTTGTTTCTTTATCAAAACAGATTTGGAGAAATTTAGCATTACATCACGTGCTCGCCAATTGATCCTCTGCAGTGAATGGGTGCCGTCAGAATGAGAGTTCAAACAGCTGATAAAAGCATCATATTAATCTACAAGTAATCCACACAACTCCAGTCGATCAACGTTTTGTGAAGCAAAAGCTTTGAGTACTCTATCCGTAATATTGCTTTCTCCACGAAAAAAAGTCTCGCCTGAATCAGAAGAGAAATACGCACAGATTTACATCAGTTCTAAACAAATACGTCAGTGGATTTGGATGGGAGAGGACAACAGGGGATGGACTTTTTTACTGGAAGGATACATTAATATGGTATTTTGCCGTGAAATGACTGTTTAAT